GTCAACAACATGAGAAGCGATGTCTGTTTTAACGGGGCCGCTGGCCATGAAATAAATTCTGAAGTCATGAAAGCAGCGTCTGGAAACTCGGGGCAGCAGGGCACCCCAGGCTGCGGCAGCAGACAGGACCCTGCACATCTTCTGATCCTGATCCTCGGGTGCCCCCTGGCGGCCAGGGTCACCCCTGCCCCGGGCTGGAATTTCCCCGTGCGCACCGGTGTGGTCCTAGAAGGAAAAGTATAGGAGCACACGACCACACTCTTCCTCCAGCACAGCCCGCCCAAGGAAACGGTAAAGCACCACAGTTCTTTCTAATCGATAAACGGAGGTCAATGGCCTTTGGATGGAGGGAGATTGGCGGCCCACGCTGCTAATGACACCGTTTGGCCAGCGGGACGCCTTACGTGTTTCCTGAGATCTGGGAGCTCAGACTGCTGGGCCCCTTTGCAAATGTAGGCAGACTAAGGGTAAAACCGATAATATACCTGTTAAGTGAGAGCTTAACCTCAGCACTTTGGACGTCTGAGTCTTAGACACGGGAACTGTGTGTATCCAATGGCAAGCTGCTTCGCTGTTGTAAGATCCCAGAATGTCTTCAGCTCTGTACACCTGTTGCTACCAGCGCTCAGCCGGTTAGCGAAACATTATGCTTCGTGCTTCCCGGTACATTCACTTAAAAATCTCTCTGGCCTAAAAAAGGAAGTGACTGCACCCCAAAATCTTTCATCCCTCGATTATAAAAACAGTAAAAGATTTCAAAGCCATCAAACATTCTGTGTATAAATACAATAGGAATCTTACGTTTTTCGCCTTTTTTTCCATTTATATCCATCACTTTTTGAATTTTTGACATGTTTGGAATGGACAACAGTACAGAATAATAAATAACATGCATTTGGTTTTTTGTTTTTTTTTTTCTGAAATCAAAATAGTTTTTTAAACTGGAAACAAGTTCTTTACATTTTATGTACCACCAGGTAAGCACATAATGGCATTATAATAAAAAGTCCTCATTTCATCAGCAGTACTCATGTTCCTCCTGTACAAATTAACATGATCCCCACAGGCAGAAAACACACGAGCTTTACTGGGCAATGGGCCGCGTTGGCAAAGAATGAAAGTGAACTGCTCAGAAACACGGAAGATCACATGTGTCATCAGAATTCAAATCATCTGGACGTTCTTCCCGAATTAAAGCATCCTGCACCACAGCGTCCTCTCAAAAAGGCTGTTCCGGGGAACGCTTGCCGGGAGGGCTGCACACAGATAAGTCCACTATGCCATCAGCTCTGTTGACCCTGCTGCCATGAATGATTGGTGAGCCACTATTCTGTATACCCACACCACGCCCCGCCTCACCCCTGAACACGATATTCACTGACTTTGCCCAGCTCTGCACAGGCTGCCCAGGACAGGAGACCAAGGGCCAGGTGTGCTACACTGGCCCGAGCAGGTGCCTGGGCTCCGGGTCAGAGGCCTGAGGCCCACCATGGTATGCTTTTCAGCTCAATCCCAAAGCAGTCAGTCATTTTCTTTTCAAGAAGAAATGGACATAGCCCAGTGTGGTAGCGCACACCTGTAACCCCAGTACTTGGGAAGCTGAAGCAGAAGGATTGCCGTGAGTTTGAGGCCAGCCTGGGCTACATAGTGGGTTCAAGGTCAGCCTGAACTGCATAGCGAGGGCCTGTCTGGGAGGGAGGGGTGGGGGAGGGAGGAAAGAAAGAAAGAAAGAAAGAAAGAAAGAAAGAAAGAAAGAAAGAAAGAAAGAAAAAGAAAGAACATGATAAAAATATTTCAAAGATATAAAGCCAAAAAGCTTCCTGTTAAAAGAAGAGGAGAAATAAAATGTACTTATAAAGCTCTTTGTATATTTTTAAAATAAAAATGGAGGAGGAGGATAAATAAATTCTAATGCACTGAAAAACCAAGTATTTCTTTACAAAACTTGAGATCCCCTCACAAACACACATAAATACACACTTCATACACACAAAAAGGTTAAAGATAAAAACATCTGATAGGATTTGCTTTAAATAGGATGGAGCATAAGTTCCCATTTGCAATTTTGGCAGAAGTTTAAAATGCTGCCCATAAAGGCATTTGTGTGCATGCCCGGCCCGGCCCTCATAAGAACAAGAAAAAATATAAAAAAGAAGGTCTGGAGAAAAACATAGGCATTAACATCAATTTCCAACGAGCACAAAAGGCAAAATACATTAAAAATATTGTCAGTACAACCTAGATTTTCGGCAGAGAATAAACAGAGAAAATGTCAGTAAGGAGAGGACGGTAGTTCAGACCACTGCTACAAAAAGGGTTTCACTCCACGGAGACTGGGACCGGATGTGGGCATCTAAGTGAGGGGGTGATCTCGGCTCTCAGCCCCACCTCCTCCTGGCGAGCTGAAACAGGTGTCCACTCCGTTAAGATGCCCCCAGGATGTCGTGTGCCCCTCCCACCTAGGGTGACAGCAACACATGTGCACACGCATGCTCTCAAAGTCAGGCTCAAAACTGTCCCATAGATGGAGACTTGATGGTCGGTTTCTTAAGAGAAATTCTGAATGAAAAGCTGGACGGGAAAAAGAGAATCTCACCCCGTGCCCATACATCATCATCATACAAACCACAGTAACAGGCGCTCTTTCTCGGGGGAAGCACTTGGTGTTCGCAAAGGGCGCAGGCCCCATGGTTCCTGCTTCAGGGAACGTGTGCAGACAGTGGTCACCGTGCCCCCGACCTCACGCCAAATGGCTGCTGGAGACGCGGGGTGAGGTGGGGGTGTCAATGGCGCTTTTGGCAGAAGTTTTTCCAGACTGATGAGCCAAGGAAAAGAAGGGGCCCCCAGATCTGTGCCCCAGTTTACCAGCCCAGGAGAGTATCTTGTAAAACAGCTCAGGCTCCCTGCTGTTCGTGCTCCCCCGTGACTAGGGTGGCTCCTGAGAAGCTGGCTGCCCCTGGGTTCTCTCCTGGTATTCCAGTCCGGATGCGTGGTAAGGGTCAGGTGCTGCTCCCCACCAGCTCAACAGCGCCGCCCTTGAGGCTCCAGGGGCTCAGGTGCCCGGTGCGCATCCCCAGACGCTCAGGGACCCTGGCCGGTGGTTCATCAGGCGGTCCCACAGCGTGGGAACATTCTCATGGGTGCAGTCTTTCTGCCCTGCATTACCACCACCAATACGGGGGCCCGGGGAGGAGACAGAGAACCAAACACGGGCCCATGAAGGACACCGTCAGACACTTGTGGCTTCCGGGTGCGGCCTCTGAGCCTGTCCTGGAAGCTCTCTCCCTTGAAGGCGTCACTCGGGATACTAAGTGCTGACTCAGTGGAAATCAGGGTCAAGGAAATGACCGGAGGAACCAGCTTTGTTTGCTACGCCTGCTGGAAACATCGACGGCCACCTAGCAAGGGTGTCACGTGACCGGCCTGCAGGAGTCCCGGCCTGTCCCTGTGCAGGCCTGGCTCGGGTTTGGGAACTCGGCACAGAGCTCTCTTAAGGCTCCCAATTTCACAGGCTGACTTCTGAGAAACGAGACAGAGGCTCAAAGCCATTAAATAAAGCCTTCTCCTCTACTTCTGAAACCACAGAAAACTGCGCAATGAAGAAGTCAGAGTTGCTCGCCCTTCCTGAAGCGGTTGGGCGAAGACGCTATTCCTCAGCAACCTTTCACACAGTGCGATGCTCCCTGCTGTGGGTCTCCTCTCCCTGGTAGAAAGGGCGAGGTCAGAGGGGGAAGTGGTGCAGAACTAGAAAATCTTACAACAAAGAGAGCGGTGGGGTCCACAGCCAACTTAGCAGTCCCTGCAACGTACTATCACTCTGGGAAGCTTTCCCGGGGCAACACAAAGGACGTGAGTGTATCAGGAGTGTTCCGAGCTCGAGGCTGCCCCGTCCTCACGTCCCCAGTTTCTGAGAGCAGGTTCCCCCAGGGTGGACAGGGAGTGGGCGTCAGCCACCAGGCTGTGGCGTGTGTCTAAAGTACACACAAGTAGCGCCACGCGGCAGGTCTGAAGGGTGTGCGCTCACACGGAACTAATCACAGATCCGGGACAGCGCCACACTCAAGCCTTGAAGACCCACTGGCTTAACCCTTATGGCGCGCACATGTGCTTCCACAGGCAGTGACTTGCGAACCCAAGAATGCCCTGCCACGGCCAATGCTTGCTTGCAAGTTCCCTTCTCCCTCTGCGAGCGGCGGCCACGGCTTTACAAGAAACACACGTGCGTGCAGCCCGCCCTGGCATGGGAGAAGCCTCTCCCGCTGGCTGGCCTTCAGCGTGTCCCCCGGAAATCTGCAGCCAGGGGCGCGGATCCCAGGTCCCCGAGCTGCGGCTGGGCCTCCTCCCGGGGGGCTCCCGGCTTTGAAGGCTGCCACTGGGGGATGGCAAGATGTCACTACCTTTGTCAGCCCGTCCTCAGCAACTCCTCTAACCGGAAACAGGCTGCTGGGCAAAAGCTGTGCCCGGGTGCCCTGACCTTTCTGCTTCGGCCTCCGAGGATCTGAGTCACATCTGCCAGGCTGTCTGAAGAACTAGCTGGCTCTCTTATCGCACTGCAGACACGTGGAGGGGCTGTTCGGTGGTATGTTTCCTGCAAAAACACCCTCTGAACGTGCCAGAGGTGTCTTCAGGTGGCCACTGGCTTTGTAATTGTCACCAGCTCCCAACCAAGCAGGAGCGCCACCTCCGAAATACTTCTAGGAGGCGGCAGGTGAGGGCCTGGGGCCGCCTCTCCCACCCTCCTCCCCCTGGGGTCTCGCTTCATAATGGTCGGTTTCTTAAGAAGAAATTCTGAATGAATTTCTCAAAGTAGGGCTGCCGCAGACAGGGTGGTCAGCATTTCCAGATGGGGTTATTCTTTGACTTAGTATCGAATGTCACTGTCTTTCCCTCCTGAACCTACACCGAAAACTGGGTGTTTCTCTGAAACCACTTTTGAAGAGCGAGAGACTTCGAAGAGGTCACACGTGATGGGACTGGTTTAAAAACAAAAAAGCCTTCTATGCCTTCAACTAGACAGAAAGTTTTATCACAGGACAACAAAATTCAAGTCATAAGGAAGCTTGCACAGGGACCCACATGACTGTCAAGCGAGCCGCCGTTTTGACAGCCATTGTCACTCCCACGTGACAAGCGGGGCTCTGACGTGTGCACGGGGCCCCTCTCAGGGCCCGCCCCGTGTCTTCCCTGCGAGGACTCCCGGGGGGCGCAGCCTCGCCGTGTCAGAACCGCACGTGTTAGCAATTACTGCAAAATGCACAGGTGGCGGTTAATACAAATGGAACTTGAACTCTGCCCACCGAGAGAGCGCAGCGCCAGGGTCCCCTCGGCCCAGCGCGCAGCCTACGACGTGAGCTTCGAGTAGCTGGGCGGAGAGAACCGTCTTCGCAGGTACTTGAGGACGTAGAGGGGCAGACAGCTGACCAGGGTGATGACAGAGACTTTCCAGAGGAACGACAGAGTGGCGATGAAGTACACATCTGCAAGCCAGGAGAAGACAGCAGTGAGCGTGCGGAATGTTCTGGAAGGCGCAGCGTGACCCAGCAGCAGGCACCGTGGGGAGCCAAGGGAGGGCTGCTTCCCTCACAGACGCACAGCCCCTGATACTAGCTCGTGTCCCCGCTCGCTCCTGAAGGGGACAAGTGGGCCGGCAGCACATACGGCCTGTCAGCTCGATTCCCCTCGCTGCCCCTCTTGTCTGTGTGACCTGCTCCGGTAGCTTCCCGCTTGGTACAACGAGATTTTCAACAATTTCAGCAGGAAAATAAAACCACAGGTGTTTTTGATTTGGACTCTGACAGTTGGAGTTTCTTTCTAAATCCAGCCACTGGTGAACACGAAGTGACATTCAGATGTAGGGTTCTGCTTCCTAGCAACTTCTACCTGTCTCACCGGCAGTCACAGTGTGAGCGGGGGAAAGCCTTGGGCCTTTGGCTGAGGTCGGGGCGCTTCCTTGGGGGCTGAAGGGTGGCAGACTAGGGGTCCTAAGGTTGCTGAGAGCGGACAGCTGTGCTATTCAACACTGCTGCTGCCAGAGGAAACCCCTGCCCCACCTCCTGAGCTCAGGTGGAAACGCCACAGGGGGCAGATGAAGCACCTACTAAGCGCCGGGCCCGGGGCTCCAGCCCAGGGTGCTCTCCTGTGCTCGGCTCACCCAGAGCTCTGGCTGCCCCGTGTCGAAGGCCACCCGAGCACCCTGAGGGCCCAAGCCCCTGTGCGCGCAGTGGGTGCTCCCAGAACCTTTTCTGGAAGACCAGACAAGCACGGAGCTTCTAAATTTCACTTCCTGGCCACATGCCGTTTTTCTTTATTGATAAACATTCATAAGGAGCTCTGGAAGGCAGAGAAAGAGCCTGGTCAAAGGTGCTCCTGACACAAATGGCGTTTCTTGGGCTTTCTATTATTGTCCCAGAGCCTCCGTAGGAAATCTACCTTCTCCATGAAATCTGAATGCCACCAGTGCCTGGGCATCTGCTTACGCCCCTGTACCTTACACATAAGGACAGTAACATCTGTTCACCCCTGGCCAGGTTCCGTTCCCCTGGAGGTGGGGCCACAGCACCCAGTGGACAGTTCCTGGGGCCCAGCCACCTTCCCCCCTCCCTACGGCAGGCCTCCCTCAGGGGTGCTGCAGCCAGAGGTCCCTCGAGGGAGTCCGGCAGCTCCACATCACAGGGGAGCAGCCGGCGGGGGAGCAGCCTCAGAGCTAAGCCCTCCCTGCTGACAAGGGAGGCAGTCGCCGCGCAGGAGTCCTGCTGTAAGTAATGCAGACGGAATCTCAACTGTGTGTGTGGAAAAGCGAACTGAAGTGGGCCATCCGCTGCCTCACTACTGGCCTTCCAAGCTGATGAGCCCAGCCGGGAGGTCTGAGCGGATCCCGGCTGGGGAAAACCCAGATCTGGGTCCCCTGAGGCACGCGGCCCAAGAGGCCGGCTGCCTGCACCGGGCGTGTGAAACAGAGATGCACACGGGCTCGGGCCAGGAACGAGCCCACGGCAGCACCCGGGGTCAGCAGACAGCGGTCCAGCCGAGGGGCGCCCCTGGTCCCGTGCCGACCCTGCTCGTAACGGATGGACCAGGACTGGCTGGACGTCCGGCAACACCTTAAGTCAGCGTGGGGATGGGGAAACCCGAGCTGGTCCCCTAGAGGTGGGGGTGATGGCCCATACACCCAGCAACAGCACCGCGGGCAGAGAACGCCCTCCCGGGGGTGTCACTCTCCCGCCTGCACGTCCCGAGATGTTCGGATGCTGGGTCAGGGGCGGTTACTTCCCCTCACCCTCCAGCCTTGATCACATCTCTCATCCCTACAGGACAATGGAACCTGGTTTTTCCAAATATTTTGGGTCTGCTGTTGGCTGAACTCGAAGATGTGGAGCCCGAAGACACGGGTCTCCTGCGCTTGCTGAATTAAAAGATTCTCGTTCTATACCATCTACCTCTACATGGTTTTCAAAACACTCTCAAGCGTGGGATGGAGCTCAGTGGCACAGCGCTCGCCTAGCACGTGTGAGGCTGCAGCTTCCATCCAGGTACTACTACATAAGGGCGGCATGGTGACACAGGCTGGTAATCCCAGCACTCTGCGAGGTTGAGGCAGGAGAATCTTAAGTTCGAGCCCATCTTGATTGAGGAAGTGAGTGACTTACTGAGACCCTCTCTCAAAATAAAAACATTTTAAAGGCCGGGCGGGGGGAGGGTGGTGTGTTAGAGATGCAGCTCAGTGCAAATGCCCCAGGTCCAATCCCCAGCACCGCAAGCAAACAAGCCCACTCTCGGCCCGAGACCACATCCCACATTCTCAACCCCGTGTGCTAACTCACGACTGCCACTTGTCCTGAGGGGACAAGAGTGACCAAAGGCGGGCAGGGAGTGAAAGGGGCTCGAGACGAAGCTCCCGGGCCTCGCTGCGGGGAGGCGTGGGGCCGACGCCGCTGGGACGGCAGACGAGCTCGCGCGCTCGGGTCTCACCAATGAACTCGTGCAGGAACACCAGGGAGGCGATGTAGCAGGCCAGGCTGAGCAGCTCGGCCACCGTCATGAGCCAGTGCCAGGTCTGGATGGTCAGCGCCACCATGAGCAGCTCGGTGAGGATCAGCGACGTGAAGGAGATGGCCACGATGTGCACGAACTCCGACTCGAACAGCAGCAGCGCCCCGTACATGATGGTGCTCCCTGGAAAGGCCAGAAGGGTGTCCCCGGGGGTCCCCTGGGGGCGGCCAGCTCCACACGTCCCCCCGGGGCCGGACGCCGGGCCCACGTCACCCCCAGAGAGCCTCGTTTTGACATCAAAGGCGTGAGTCCTTTGCTAAATGAGGCTGATGAGTGACGCGCTTTGACCTTACAGACTAGATGACCTGTGAGCAGAGAGAAACAGCTAGTGGAGGAGGACCAAAGAGGACAGTGTGGCTCACTGGGGTTGAGAGAAGACACAGAAATTTCAGCATTTCATCCGGGCAGGACTCCCACCAGGTGCACACACTGCACTTTGATATATTTCTCTAACGCACACACACGTACACACACACAGTTTCCATGACAACTGAGGCCTCTGCCAACAAACTCAGGGGTCTCTGAATTTTTTTTTACTGTATTACTCCTTGGTTAAAAAAAAATTAAGAGGATGCAGATACATACGTTCATTTATAAATAATATGTGCACCTGTCCGGGCATCTAAAACCAGTGGGCACACTATACAAACATAGTATGTGCATGTTCAAACACAAAGAGAAATTCTAAAAGGAGTGAAGAAAAAATAAATACAATAGGAGAGTTGCTATTTTCTTTTTATGCTCTAAGAGGTCCTCTTTTGAAGCCACTGCAGTCTACAGGACCCTCTTTTTTTGTTTGGTTGGTATCAGAAATCGAACTTGGGACCTTGCACTCGCCAGGCAGGCGCTGTGCGGCTGAGCTATCTCCCCACCCTACAGGACCCTCTGGCAGCCACGGAGTATGTTTCTCAAAAGCCACGACTTATCTCACTCTCAGCAAAGGTATGGAACTTCCCAGAAAGCAACCGCTTTCTGTTACATGGACCCAACATCTGGGCAGCTTTCACTCAGTGCACGCTGAGTATCCCTCTCTGAGACGCTCAGGGCCAGCAGGTTCCACATTTTGGCCTGTTTCCGATGTTGGAGACATCCACATATATATAAAAGGAGGTAATCTGGGGAAGGGACCAAACCTAAACATGAAACTTAAGTTTTCTCTACACTACACACGCTTGCCTGACGGCTGTGTCATACCGTTTCTCATGTGCCCGCGTTTTGACTCTGACCCGCCCCTGAGGTCAAGTGTGGAATTCTCTGCATCCTATCAGGGCTCACAAAGTTTCAGATTCCGCAGCATTTTGGATTAGGGACCCTCGGCTTGCATGAGTTAGAGTTTTCCCTGACTGCCCTACTAGGCAGACAGCACACGCACGTCTGATTTCCCTGTGCTGGGTATTAGAGCCTCTGACCCACGGGGCACCTGCCCCTGCTGTCACACGCCCCGCCGCCCTCTGAGGGCCCCGCTTCTCATGTTCCACAGGCTGGAAAAGAGGCTCCCCGGGTCAGGGTCAGGGCACAGGGCAACAGGTGGCTCCCTGTCCTTACCTTGATAGATGCTAATCAAAACCCAGATTAAGAACGTCTTGTAGGACAGCGGCCGCCCCTAAGGAGAGACGGAAAGGTTAAACAGCAGTTCATCGTGGTGCCATTGGCCTCCTACTCCCGCCCTCCCTCCAGATCCGGCCACCTGCCTGTCCTCACACACACAGCGGCCGACACATCCAGACCCACGAGAGGAGAGCTGACGGGACGGGCCTAAGCCTGCTTTTCAGTAAAAACCCAGAAGACAAAGCAAATCACACATGCCGACACACACACTTGGCCTGCACTTTCTGAAGTGCTGTGAGGACACTGCTAGGAACAGCTGCAAACAGAGCCACCCTGGAGTCTTACAAAGCTGGCATTGTTTTCAGCTTGCACGTTACTGTGCTGTTTTATGTTCCCTGCACGGAAACCCACACTGCACAAGAAAAACACGAACTCCCACACTTTCCCCTCAGTCAGACCCGGGGAGTCTGTGTGAAGGGAAAGGAAAAGGCGGGAGGGATGGAAAGAAGGCAGAGGGAAGGAAGGGGCGAGGCGGGCGGGGAAGATCTGCGCACCTTGAGCAGGTCCTTATAGAGCTCGGGATACAACATGGCAACTTCCGACTTGACGTCTTTGTCCAGGACCAGAGAAAACACGGGGAACATGGTGTAAATCGTGGAGTACCTGGGGAGAGAGGGCACAGTTCTGGCCCGCGCAGAGGAGCCATCTGCCGCCCACCCCGGGGCGCTGTGTCCACTCACTCCCCCCACACCTGTTCCCACCAGGCCAGCCCGGCTTACAGCGTGGAGACTGAGACGTAAAACAGACCGAAGCCTCAGCCCCGAGAGCTTGTGCACTGGCTTCTGAGCAACTAAAAAAATAAATCAAGTCTCCTATCGGTGTGTTACAGGAATGTGCTGAGGAGGAAAATGAAAAGGGGAGGAGGAATAAGACACCTGTGTGTGTGTGTGTGTGTGTGTGTGTGTATGCGTGTGTGTACACACACGCACGTGAGCTGTACACATGGGGTGAAAGGTAAAACTCAGAGAAGGTGGCCAAGGAGTAAACATCTGAGTAACCATCCAAGGAGGAGCAGCCAGCCCAGTACAGGGAGGAAGAGCCTGCCAAGCAGGAAGGACAGGCTGTGCAAAGGTCCTGAGGCAGGGGTGTGGCTGTCAGCAAAACCAGTGTGGCTGGGACTGAGGGGATGAGGCAGATGGGATGGATGATAAAAGCCCACAGGGAGCCCCCTGACTATGTTCTGCCATGTTCTCTTACTCTACCAGGACCTGACAAGGCACTGTATTTTTCCGACTAGAAGCAGATAGAATCCAGTGTGTACTCTCAGGCTGACCTGACTAGCGAGACATAAGACAAAGGGAAGAGGACTTTGTGACTCCCCAAGAGGGGTTGGGCTGCGTTTCAGTTCCACAGAAGCAGGAGCAGCCCTGTGTGAATGCAGGGCACCAGGCACCCAGACCCCATCCACCTGGGGAGCCACAGATGGAGCACCTTCCCGGGGACAATCAGAAGGTGCACTGTGGCATTGCAGCTGGGAACGGGGCGGTCTGAGGACAGCAAATGTCCAGGTGACACCCTTTCGGTCACTGCGGCACCCAGTGGCCAGCTCCACATGAGCGCCCCCTCCAGAGCATGCTCCTCCCCATCGGGACCCCACTGCCTCGGGCTCACAGGGCCACGGGTCGCAAACACCCCGGGCTCCCCCTCTCCAACCTGGTGAGGGGCTTAACTCAGGTTCCAAACCTGGCTGAGTCAAAGCGGCTGGAGACCTCACCTCCTCCCTGGGGCCACAGGGGCCAGGGCTCCGAAGCGTCCCCACACGTTTCTTCTCCCTCTGTGGCAAGTTAGAAAAGTCAAATAAAATGTGAATACCTTGCTGGATTTCCTTACCCAATGATGAGGAACCCTTGGTAGAGAGGAACAGAGGCAAAGTAGAACACGGAAGAGAAGACAGCCTGTGGGAAGAGAAAGGAGATGTCACCGAGAGTCCTCACAGAAGCCCTGATGTGTGCAGAACAGAAACGGCGCCAACCCTCACACCGCGCCACTCCATGCAGCGCCCTGCTGTGCCGTAAGCACCCGAGGTGCAGGAGCTCAGGAGTTCCCAGAACCTGCCTAAGTCCGAGGGGCCGTCAGGTCATCCCCGTTATACAGGTGAGGAAGGTGAGGCACCGAGGGTATCCGGCTGGCCCAAGATCACACAGCTTATACCTGACCAAGTGAGGAGTCGGTCGGGGTCATCGTGCCCCGACCATGCTCAGCCCCTCTGTGACAGTGGTTCCCAGTGCTAGCGCCAGGGAGGCTTTGCATCGGGTCTTAGCGAGTGTTCGGAGGAACTGTGAGGTCGAGCTCGAAAGTTGCCCACATTACGCAGAGGGAGACATGAGCAGGAGGCCGGCCCTGCAGGACTCCAGCCCAGCCTGATCTCCGGAGCTCACGCTCCCCAGTTCCTGCCACCTCTGCTAGGCACACAGCACCTGGCCACCAAGCGCACGGAACCTGACCTGAGAAAGGCCGAGGCATTTCTACCCTGGATGCCCGGTGGCTGGTGCAGCCGACGGGGCTGCACCTCTCACACTGTGCATTTGAGTACCTCAAGGAGTTTTTTAAAGAGTACATGACAGGCTGCTTCTGCAATTAGACATTTACAAACTGGTGGAAACGTCTGCCTCCTATTGGGAAGACAGCAGCTCCTGGCAGTGAAGACGAGGTGGGGGAGGACACTGGCTTGACGTTCTCTGTAGCTCTTTCTTGGGGCATCTACGGGCTAACGGAAGGGCAGGAGGGTCCAAGCTTGCTTCCATTAGGATAAAGCCAAAGGAAAGAGGCTTTTCAAAGAGTCGCCTCTGAGAGGGAGGCTGAACCACCGGGCAATCAGACCGCATCTACCCAAGCTTCCCCAAGCACCCACCACCGGTGGGGCCAGCTGGCTCATGGAGAACCTACGCTCACTGGGCAGAGCTGAGAGCAAGTGCCATCAGGTGCCCCGGCCATGGGAAGCCCCGGGGTCCCTGGTCGCATTTCCAGAATCTCAGCACCAGGAAAGTACACTTTCAGATGGGAGAGTACACTCCCCAGAGGATGGTTTGTAAAACTCTCAAGAAACCAGTGTCTCCTTTGCAAGGGAGCCTCAGGAGCCCCGCTCCCCATGGGCCGCACTGCCACAAAGCCTGCGCTGGACAAGGACACTGTGGGGGAATAAAAACGCTACCAGAGACCAAGGTCTAGGTGCAATCCGGAGTCGCTCAGCACAGAGCAGAGGGGTGAAAGTCGGTCTCCTAGCACAGGGAACATGCCTCATTCTGGAATTTTTTTCTGAATCAAAATTATTGGTAACATCCGGGCATTACGGCAGTCAGCCCATCCAGGCCGGCTTTTGGGTTTGTGCCCAGGAGCAAGCTCATTCATCTCCCAGGGACTGAAACCGTAGCAGTACCCAGCTCACTGATGAATTAACATAAACTAAAAGTACAGATGTGGTCTGATGAGCCATACCAGCTGTTTAGCTTTAGATCTTTTTGATAAAAATCATTTTAAAGCTCCACTCACAAATGCAATCAATATTTAAAATGTAAAATCACCCACACAGGCCTGGATGAGGCTAGCAGAGGGTGAATTCTCATATAGAACCCGGCTCATTCTGTAGGGCAGACTGCCTTTCACGTACGATTGAACATGCTTCCTGCAAATTAAAATCTTACCTTACATTTACACCTCATCCGGCTTCATTTTATTGACAATGATGAGGAAGTGTCCCATGCTGATATCACAGAAAATTTTTTCAAAGTGGTCAAGTCCAAGAGCAAGGGCAAGGTACATTCCATTGCCCCTACTTTACAGGCAGAAAGACTGAGGCCTGGAGTTATAGTGACTTGCCCACAGCCTCACAGGTACTTAGGGAAACAGTCAGAAAGAGATGTGGGTTCCAGGATCCACCGCTTCTACGTTCTCACCATTAAACTGGGAATATCTGCACCTCGAAGCCCAAGTAGGAACACAGCCAACAGCTTTTCAACACCCAGAATGTTTTCTTTCCTTTCCTTTGGCCTCTTTCCTATGACACTCTCGGCTACCTGATGACAGATTTTGAAGGAGCTGGTGAGGCAGAAAGTGAGCAAATACACACTCTGAAATCCTCTGTGGAAAACAGATACGAGCAGAATGCTAATCCTCCCAAGACTGAACTTCGTAACTAAGCTCTACTCCCACCTGGCCCTGCTATAGACTGTGAGTGGAGCAAAGTGGTGATCCAAAGACCGTGGTGATCACGTAGTGACCATGTGCGGAGGAGCCAGCTGCACACCCACCTGCACAGTGCGGATCACACACATCTGTGCGAGGCGCCAGCTGCCCACCCACCTGCATGGTGCTGATGCAGAGGCTCCTGTGGATCACAAACTGGCTGAGGGCCGCGGAGCGCTTGTAGCTGTTCCGGCCGTGCACCATGAGCAGCCGGCCGAGATGCTTGAACTGAGTGATGGAGAAGTCTGCAGCCAGAGACGCTTGTTTTCCTTCCTAAAACCCAGTGCAATCGGGCACCGTCAGAAGCGCAAGTGGTCAGTGCAAACATGCTTTTTTTAAATTGGAAAAACAAGACACAGTAAGGAGATCTTTGAAAAACTCAATAAAGAGATTCTCTGGTTTCAAGCTATACACGGTAGGTGGTCTAACTCTAAATCTGATTTAAAAAGAGGAATTTATTTAAATAAAAACATACTAAGTCACAGATAGTTGTAATTTGGAGGTCAAATGAATTTAGCATTAAGCCTTCAGGGTTCAGCCCCGTCTAACGTGGGTCAGAAGCGAAGAATCATTCCACGATATGTGAACTATGTGGTTCATAACGTCCAGGTCCCTGCAGAGGTAAACGGAGCGAGCACACAGTGCTCCTGACAATATTAAATGAAATTCCTGATACACAACTCTGAGGAGCAGAGGCAATGGATAGTGCCTCGTTAGTGGCATCCCCTCACTGTCAAAGGCATCTGATCGCCATCAACATGGGCCGGAGACATGATGACAGGGACGGCACAAGCTCCCCCCGTGACACACCACAAGCTCAATCTACTAAACCGGGCCAGCAAGCGCCGCGCGACATCCCGTAACTAACTGTCCTGAACACTTCAAAAATATCCACGTCATGAGAACGCACTCCCCGACTCCAGAACAGAAAAAAAGACAGAGAAGTGTTTTACATTAAAGAACATTAAAGAGACACAAAGTAATGCTAATAAATGAAATTTGTGATCCTTGATTAGTTTCTGGGGCTTTTTACTTACCCTATAAAGACATTCTGAGGACAATTGGGAAAACGTGACTATGAATATTCTATACATGGTACCACTGTATCGGAGTTACATCTGGGGCGGGGGGAGGTGGGGGACACTGCTGTTTTGTTACACTTCTTGGTAAAGCAATTCGTGCCATAGCGTATAGGAGTAACATAGTATAGCACGTGTGCAGCTCACCTGCAGCTGACCCAATGTGGAAAACACTAACAAAAGGTAAATCAAAGTAAAGGGGAGACAGATAGTCCCTGTTCTTCAGATTTTCAGAACTAGTATCATTTTTCAAAATAAAAGGAGCTTGAGAAGTAATGATCATTACACACTCTGACAGAGAAAAAAATCTAAGATGTAACAGATTTAAGTAAACTGCATGCCAAAATGCATAGTGTTTCCAATTTAAAATTATACACAACTATCTACACATGTGTAAAGCATGCATATACATTACATATAACAAATACACACATACACCCACTACCAATAATACATACATAAAAATATTTTGGAGTATCTAATGTTATTAGACTGATGCTGCTGTATTTTATGTTTAAATTATTTGATTCAGGGCTGGGGACATAGCTCAGCAGCACAAGTGCCTGCCTGGCAAACACAAGGTCCTGAGTTCGATTCCTGGTACTAAATAAATAAGTAAGTAAGTAAATAAGTAAACAATTTGATTTTTGTTGTTAGTACTTTTATACTCTAAAATATAAATGAATGAGAATATAATTGTAATACGAATGTTTTAGTTCTAGGTAGGAAATTCTAAACACTTCCATTAAATGTGAGCATACTTAAAGCCTACATTTAAGGGATCTGTGCAGATTTCAAACACAGTATCTCATGTAAGAACCATTTGCTTCTGAGACTACACACACCCATACATACATACACACACACACACATACACGCACACACACACAAAATCAGCTGGTTGAGAATCAGAGAAGCAGAAAGCATGAGAAAGGAAGAAAAAAAGGCTCATGAATTAACCAAACTCATGAAAACATGCGACACAATGTACAGGGGAGCTTATTTCTGCTTCTCCCTCCACCTTTATACTCTACGGAGTTCTAGCACCCTTGGGGACTAATCCTGCCTCTGCTCCCTCCAAGATGAGATGGGGCAGAGTAAATTATAAGAGACAAGCACACAGTTGACAAGGAGGGAAAGACAGAAAAACTGTAACTCACAAATTTCTCAACATTATAGCCACCGGCTGGGTGCAGGGGCACACACCTGTAATCCTACTTGAGAGGCTGAGGCAGGAGGATCACAAGTTCTAGGCGAGCCTAGGTAACTTAGTAAGACCTAGTCTCAAAATAAAATTTTAGAAAAGGCTAGAGATATAGTTCAGTTCTCCCTGGGTTCAATCCCTAGCACTGCAACTAGATAGACAGACAGACAGAGAGATGGACAGACAGAGAGGCAGAAAGGAACCGCTACAGCTTTTTAGTAAAGGGAAAACTTGCCACATTCCTAACACCGGAGAGGGCAGTACATGGCCTGGTAACTATTGGCTGACTACCATGGAAAGGCTGGCAGCAAGGTCACTATGCCCTGAAACTACAGAAATACCCTTTTCCTATCCTAACTTTGGGTACTGGCAAGCGAAGTCGGCATGGGTCCGTAAGCTGGAGTGGGTCTGGGGTCCAGGGAACATGCGGTTCCCCCTGCTGTTACTCTCACCCCGACCTCCCCAAGCATCCCGCTGTCTCTGAGGGGAAAGCACACCGCAGGGCAACTCGGGCCAGAGCAGCACAGTGTAGCGAGCTCACCTTCCCTTCCACGCCCACGCCGCAGTCAGACTCCTGGATCATGCTGACGTCGTTGCCTCCGTCACCTGCAGGGCGCACAGACCGCAGGGAGGCACAAGCACCTCCGTATCTCCGCCTCACCTACAGCGACTGCTCACATCACTGAGTGCTCTACACGGCCGCCCACCTGTGCGTCAGCGCCCCACTTCACAGGCGTCAGCACCAGAGGGACCGGGACCCGTGGGGCTGCAGTACTGAGCGGCACCGGCCGGACTGCATCCACACCGGTGTTCTCAGCCAGCCTGGGATCTCCTGGGCAGCTGGGCGAGCACCACCGCTGCAGCGGTGGCTGGCACTGCCCATCCCGAGCATGTGTGGTACACTGGGGCCAGCACCTTTTCAATGGAACCCTTTCCATTCTCCTAAGTACCACATGAGGAAGCCACTGCTATTATTCCCACTCTAGTGATGAGCAAAGCAAGGCTCAGGTGTGTGACAGAAGCCACCTGGGGCACCCCACTAGTAAAAGCCAGCAGAGAGATTTGAGCCCAGTCTGACTCTGCAGAGTGTGGTCCCTACCCCTCTGGAACGCTGTGATCCCAGGCGACCCGCAAAGCAGAAGAGGCCCTTGGACCCGTTTACACTCTTTCTCAAAAGGAAATATGAAAATAATAATAGCAGCTGTGCAAGGTGGCACAGGCCTGTAATCGCTAATTCCAGCTACTTGGGTGGCTGAGGCAGGAGGATTGCAAGTTCGAGGCGGGCTTGAGCAGCTTAGCAAAACACTGCCTCAAAACAAAAAAGAGCTAGGAACGTAGCTCAGAGGTAGAACGCTCCTGGGCTCAGTCCCCAATACTGCAAATAGCAACAACAAAAAATAAACGAGCCTGGGGAACATGAATACATCAGTTGAATCCAATTATTTTTATGTAAAATAAACTCAGTGTAGGACTAGGACAAGGTTAACAGGAGAGGGCCCCGAACAGCTTCTTGTCTACTGCACAGGTGAGCCTACACCACACAGGTGAGCTTACCTACTGCGCACGTGAGCTTTCCTGTGCGTTCCTGGAGCAGGCGCACAATCTGGGCCTTCTGAGTGGGGGCGCAACGGCAGCAGACCACAGCCGGGCACTGGCAGGCCAGCTCCATGAACTCATACTCGTAGTATTTGAGGCACACCTGGGGGGACATGCAGGTACACAGAGAGGGGGTTGGCAAGGTCATCTCCCAGCTCTGAGGCTTCCATCCTGGCACAGGAAGAGGCACTCGCTTCTGGGAGAAACCCCCTTCCCTGCAGAGTCCCCGCACCTACCTCCAGGGAGTCTCCAGATATGACCAGGGCACAGTCGTGCTTCCTACGGAAGGCATTCAGCTCGAGGTGGGCCTCCCCGCGGTTGGTCACCTGCAAGAGAGCAGAGATGTGCAAGCTTCACTCTCTGGAGACGACGGAACAATGAATAGCAGCTTCCTGGTGCTGGAGGGAAGTCAACAGTCACTCGAGCCAAGGACGCTCCCCTCTCTGCCAGCAGGCCAGAGCCAGAAGAAATCCCATTTGCCACGTTCTGTGGGAATCTAAGAGCCTGTATATCAACTACCACCATCTATTCTTGGGACTAAACTGCCTGTGCTTCCATGATGGGCCTGCCCTGCACCCACACTTCCAGTGGGGCTCTCACGTCCATTCTCCTAGTGACTCTACAGATGCACAATCACAGCTCCATCTTCTGCTCCAGGAGACTGAGGCACGGTGAGGCATGCCTAAAGCAACGCTGGAGTACAGTGGAGCGCAGGTAAGTGGAGCCAGGTACCTGGGCATGGGGAAGACCAGGGGGTGAGGGTTGCAAACTGTGTGGACCATACCCAGCTCTGTCAGTGCAGTGCAAAACTAGCCATGGACAACATGCAAAGGAGCCAGCACGACTGAGTTCTGATAAAACAAAACACCCGTCCTTTACAAAAGAGGTGGCTGGCCCAAGAGCTATAGTTTACAATCCGCGAATGGCAGAACACTGTTACTCATAGCACTGTGTTCTACAAAGTCACTGGGAATACTGAACCGCTGCCTGGAGGGGAAACGGTGGGGCTTCTGCTCACAGTATTTTCTTTTTTTCTTTTTTCTTTTTGGTTTTTTTCCGGTACCGGGAATCAAACTCACGACCTTGTGCTTGCCAGGCAGGTGCTGTGCCGCTGAGCTAAATCCCCAGCTCCTGCTCACAGTACTTTCATCAATACGTATCCAGTATGTTTGGAGTCAAGAACGTCCCCCGAAAGGTACACTGTGCTGACTGCTCACCTGCTGCTTGCAGATGGGCTTTGGGGAAGTGACTGGATCACGGGGGCACGAGTCTCATGAACAGGTTACACCATGATGAGTTCATAGCTGAGGAGGTAGTTAGGACACGGGCCAGTCTGGGAGAAGTGGGGTGCCAGAAGGTCACCCTGTGAGGGTGTGTCTTATCCCCAGCCCCTCTGTCATTCTCTCTGCCTGGCTGCTGGGAGTGAGCAGCCGCCTCTGCCACTGGCTCCTTCCACCCTGATGTTACTGCCTCTTCACAGACCCAGAAGTAACGGCCCCAAGCAGCCATGGACTGACACCTCGGAAACCGTGAACCCAGATGAGTCTTTCCTCACTAAAGCTGTCTTCCTGAGCCATCTCATCCCGGTGACGAAAGGTTAACATGACGTCCTTGACCCCTGAACTCACAGCCTACAGCCCCACGGCTCAGGCCGAAGGAGGCTCCCAGTACCCCGCTCACCCCGGCAGACACTCCCTGGCTGCACACGCGGGAGCACCAGCGGGCTGCACAGCCCCGTGCTGGGGACCATTTTGAACAGCAAACTGCTGACAAAAAGCACAAAAATGCAGAAGTCCAACACTTAAATGAACTGTGGAAAGGGCACTGCCTTACAGTCTTGAACGCCGAGACAGGGAGGCCACACTGCCCCTGTCCAGCCTCAGCACGGAAGGTGCGTGTTGGGGACAAACATTTCTTTCTGCTCTATGTATGGGCAAAAAATATGGTGAGCTATTAAAGAATTGTTTCAGTGAAAAACACATGGCAATTCATCCCTATCGAAATACTCCGCTTCCCTCAAACACATCGCACCTCTAGTGCCAGGTTCTGAAGCAGTTCTGGAATTCCCCTTTCATGAGTGTCTTTCATGGTATTGTCACGATGCTTGATGTCCTGAATTGATTCAGCTCGGCAGATGAAATCCAGGACAAGTGAGATAAGCGTAATACAGTTACGAGCCTGCCTTTCCATTGGGTGGCACTCAGGAGCAACATTCAGCGTACTTCTGATCACATTTCATAGAGACCCTCACAAAAGAGGACTTCCAGAACTGCTTCAGAAAGCAGAAAGGAGGGAGGAATAAGTGTGTCCAAATCAGGCGGTGTGTTTGAACAGAGTTAATGGTGAAATGAACAGAGTTCATTTCACTGCAATGAAAATTTGTAAACGTTCACTATATATCTTGATCACACCTCATGTCTGCAAGTGACTGTGAACGTGTCACTTATTTGGGAGTCACAAGTAAATTTCAGTAAATAGGAGAATTCACAAATCCACAAACAAGTATCTGCTTCTATACAACACTGTTGTTCCAAAAATTACCAGGTTTCTTGAAGTTTCTCTGTGCTATGGACTAAAGGCAGAGACATCCCCCATCGCACCTGGCTGAAAAACATCTAGAACCTTCACAGATCTGCTTTCAGCTGAGTGAGGTTAATAATCCTGCCCAAAGGGGACCTCGTCCCCTCACCTAACGCAACATCCGGGTACAGTGACTGCTGCAGGAAGCAGCTCCTGGTGCGGACACCACTTGGGTCAAGCACTGTCACAAGGGCAGGTTTCTCGTTGGCCCATCCGATCTGAAACCTCCTTCAAATGCCCCTCCATGGTCCCAGATGCTCCCCACAGGCGGTGGCCAGCCAGGATCTGGGGCCTGGCCCTTCCTTCTTACCTGAGGACCTGGCCTTTGGAAGGGAACCCCGGGAAGCACACACAACGCCGTGTGTAAGAGCTGATCTGCATCCTTGGCAGGGGGCGGGGCCTGCCTCTCCTTGGCATCTCAGGGGGACCATGGCCCCAGAAGGGTAAGAGCACAATGGGGGTGCGGGGCTGGAACGAGGCGCTGCTGAGCCATCAGCACAGGATTCCTCCACCTCCCCAGGCACTAGGGCCCGTGCTGACCCGCTGGATTCCGCTCCCCCCTTTGGGGGTGCACTGGTCGCCCTACACAGCCCGACACACGGAACCGCTTACCAGCCGGAACACGTGGATGTCCTGGTTTCTGGTCACCAGATGCGCATTCTTGGCAGTGCACGTGGCCGTCTCCAGCTTGTCCCCCGTCAGCATCCAGACCTGCAATGTGGCATGAGAGGCACAGGTGCCTCAGGCTGAACCCGCCCCCCTGTTCTCCTGCTCGAGACAACGGTGTCCCCACACACCGGGAGAAGGGCCCAGGAAAGGGTTTTGGAGTCTTGAGCAACCACTGCTGGTGGCACCGAACGCTGATGGAACACTTCACAAAGAGTCACCAGGCCACATGCTTCAGGACACAACAGGGAGCTCAACCTCAGGGCCCTGCAGTCCCCTTTCTGGGAGCTTCCCATAAGGCAATGCATAACCGAACAAGAGGACTTGTGTGGATGAGCGATCCCTGTGGGGCCTGTGGGCAATGTTGATGCGCGGTCTTCTAGTCTCTCTCTCTACATGGTCCTACATGGAGGACCACCTGGCTGCTCTCCTGGAAGGAGGAGCAGTTGTCTCCATTTTGGCTGAGCCTGACCCTGTTTCCATGTACTGATGTGTACAGAGCTGGCTGGGACTTTTCCTTATCCCTTCAGTTGGCCCTAAGCAATGCGTATCAGTCTAGCCAAGGTGCTGACGGCAGTCTTTGGAGACGGCAGCCGTGTTTCCCCGGACCCCCGTTATTCCCACGTGTGAGCCGGGGTGAGGCGGGATGTTGAGCCAATGCTCTACGCTCTTGGCTGGGATTGAGCCTCGGGATAGAGGCTGTGACTTCCTGGGGCTGCGAAGACTACCCATCAGAGCTTAGGCACCAACCCCAAAACATTAGATACTATTTCAGTTGTGTCATGCAGATCACTCTTTCTGCATATGCTTCTCTCTGCATTTGCAGAGGTGATTGCAGGCCTCCTACCTAGCCCAGCTCAAGGCACTCACCTACTTCCCGACATTCTCGCAGTCATTCATCCTCAAGCCACTCCCTTCTTCATTTTTTGTTTTTTTGGTTTTTGGTTTTTCTCCGGTACCAGGAACCGAACTCACGACCTTGCGCTTGCCAGGCAGGCGCTTTGCCGCTGAGCTAAGTCCCCAGCCCCCCACTCCCTTCTTCGTGAATGAATAAAACCTGGGTTCGGCCCTGGGTCGAGGCCTTTGTTCCGGGTGGTCATCATCCTGGCTGGACTTAGGACCCCTCAGCTCCCCATAACTACAAGTATGCCTTAGTGTCTTTATTCTCGCCATGGGTTACACTGGAAGTGGTAGATTGGAATTAACTCGTTAGAATTCCAATAACTTTTCCATGGGATTACAAATATACCTTCCTGGGCGTGACGAAGACTGGGAAGGGCTCTCTATAGTCCGATGCTTGGGACAGATTCTCCCGGGGTCAACTCTTGCCTATAAAGTGCAGACAGCAGAGGTGCTAGGTTCTTCCCTCTCTTGTGTTGATTGTTCTGCATTTCCCTGCTGTGAGCCCAGCGAGGACCGCTGACGCACTCAAAGCCACACAGCAACCTGGTGTCCTAGCCGAGCTGTGAATCCGGATCTGCAAAGCCCAGGAGGAAGGCGCTTCCTGCTCTGCTATCACAGCTCACTAACCCTTTGTTCTCTTTGCTGTGAGCAGGGAGAGGCCCTAGAGCCTGGGCAGCGGGAAGGTACAGGAAAGGGAACAGCAAATGCTTCCAGAGCGTTCACCACTCGCTGGACGCCCAGTCCTGCTGCCCCTATTTAAATGAGACCTTCGTGAGTGGGACACGGAGGCATGGAGGAGTTGGCTCGCCTGCCCAAGAGTCACAGGAATGCGTGGAAAGCGGCAGAACCCCAGTGTGAGGCGGCCGGAAGCGGCCCTCTCACTGGTGCGTAACACTGCTTCCCCTCAAATCCGAAACCACCTTCCCCAAAGCTTCCAGGGTCTGACTAAGAAAACCAACACAAGGGAAGGGGCTGGGAAGCCATGAGCCAACTACCAAGTGCACCCTGGAACTGACGTCCCCGCTGTGGGGACAGGGACCCCGCGCTGGGGTGACGGGACGTGCCCAGGACCCAGCACCACACCCAGCTGTCACTTCCCAGGCGAGAACCTAGGACAGCTGCCACGCTCTGCCCCTGCCTCTGCAGGTGTCGAAGGACAGGGTGTAAATGTGAGGTTCTAGCACCTCCGGACCTGCGAAGGGCCGCGGCTTGGACCTGAGCCACAAGCTCATCTGCTGCCGCCACCTGCTCCTCCCCGCCCCATCTCACAGAGACCCAGATGCGGCAGTGACAGCCACCCTGCAGCACCAATGCACCGTGCCTGGCAGCAGGCCAGTGCCAAGGAGAACCCTGGGACAGCACTGGACACGGGAAGTGGAGTCTCTGAAGCCGGAGAGGAGAGGACCTCGAGCCACCAGAGCTCCCCAAAATGGGGCCCTGCTGGCTGCCGCCTTGAGACAAACCAGGCCTGCGAGCTAGGGGTGCACAGCAGGGCCTGGCGTAGGAGGACACGCACACTCGCACGCCTCCCCGGGGGCCTGGATGCTGCCAGAGTTTGCTTATTTCTTCGGCTCTGATCCAGACTCCCCACAGAGCCCGGCTTGAAGGGCAGCGTCCCTTGCCAAACACAGGGCCCGGGACACAGCCGAGAGGTGCTCGGGAGCAGAAACAGGCGGCAGCACACAGTCTGCCTCAGGAGCTGCCTCCCTGTGAGCTCGCGAAGCAGTCACGGGCTATATAACGAGGTCTCAGCCAGGAACACGCAGCACACGCTACGGTGAGCGCGTGAGACGGCAACAGAGCTGGAAAATTCCCACCGCCGAGCGGCATCCGGGCCCTCACAGCACAGCACGCTCCCCACGTATGCAAAGGGATGATGGTGTAAACAAGCCTACCGCCCTATCAGCCGCCTGAACGAGCACAGGGCCGCCGTGCATGCGGTGCCAGAACACCTGCTGAGCATACAGCGTGCCCCGGCTCCCAGCCCCACCACAGATTAAAAACAACACACACAGGAAAAGGAAAGGATCACAATTACGTGCAGTCTGCAGCACTTGATCGTGGCAACAAGCGACTATGTCACGCTTTGAACGACTACTTTGGAATGTTTGTCTACGTATGAAAAAGTTTAGTGTGAGGCAGCCGGCTGTGTCGCGTCAGCAGAGCCTCACACATCTTGTGTTTCCAAGCCCTGACTGCACCGCGCAGGTCTCTGACGCCCGCGTTGGTGCCACTGCACTCTACAAGGTCTGCACGCACGATGACAATGACGCGATGGCCTCCAGTGCCTCCTGGGGTGCCTGCTCCTGAAGGCCCTGTGGTTGGCTTTCTGGGGGCTCCCTGGGCAGAGCCAGGCCCTCAGACGCCCTCTACCGGTGCCCACAGGATGACTTGATGGTGGGCTCCAAAGAGTGGTGTGAATGTAAACGGAACTACCAGCACCAAAGCCCCTCTCCTCGGGGTCGCTCACGGACTCACGCGGCCATCCCATGCACAAGCGGGACAGCCGCTCACCTGGAATACAACACACAGCCCGTGCATGCTGGACCGGAGCTGGGCCCAGAGTGACCAGGAGAGAGACGCACACGGCCCTGCCTCCCGGGAGCCCCACAGGATTGGAGAGAAGCTCCCCAAAAGAGCAAACAGCCCCAAGATGTCTCCTGAAATCAGAGCTATGAGGATGGAGAGGACGTCAGTGGCCCTTCCTACGGGGGGCACTCGAGCCCCCTCTCCACCTCCCCCACCCCAGAGGGGTCGCCGTCCACCCTGCCCCGGGGGCTTCGGCTACCTTGATGCCCGCGTTCCGCAGCGTCTCCAGCGTGGGCCGCACGTCCGCCTGCAGCTGGTCCTCCACGCCCGTCAGGCACAGCAGCTCCATCTCCATCTCCAGGCTCTCGATCACCGTGGCTACTTTGAGGGAGCGGTCGTGCACACTCAGCTTGGCTTGGACGTAGCGGGCCTGGGGTACATGGCGAGGTGTCCCGCTTAAGAGTGAGGAACCAGCTGGCCGCCTGGATCCTCCACACCCCGGCAGGAGGGCTGGACCCTAAAGGGGTCTAACAGGCTTCCGGCCTCCTCCTGAGCCCATCTGTCCAGGGACAGAGCTGGACAGACCACCAACCCAAGCCGGGGGTTCTGCTTACTCCCTCCTTACCACGCTAGCAAAGCCCGGGGGAAATGCTCTCTTGTGCCCAAAGTAGATACTTTTAACCACAACGCAGGCAGCCTTTATCTATGGGACAGACCTCCTATTAAATAAAGGCTTGCAAAGACATAAAACACAAAGGGAGAGACCCCCAAGCAGCTGCTCTGCGGGCAGGCAAGGCCTCCCCGCCACTGAGATGCCAGCCTGGTGCCAGGTGCCAGGGACACAGCATCGAGTGAGACACCGCCCTTCCCTCGGGACACGCAAGCGATGGGACAAACGGGCAGCCGGGAAGTCAGCGAGCCAATCCAACTCCAGCTTTTTTCTAAAGCTTAAAGATGGACAAGGGCTCCCAAGGGGTGGTTCAGCCCCACTGTTCCACAAGGCCTCCACGTGCCAAGCGCTTCCCCACTCAGGCACTGGGGATTCAGGCGCAAACCAAAGTGACAAAGTCCTCGCCCTTCAAAAGATTTCATTCCACAGAGAAGAGGACAAGACGAATGTTTAGAAAATACAAACAAGGGCATTCAGCAGAGCAGCCAGTGCGGTGGGGGAAGTTAAATGCGGTGATGGACGGAAAGCGCCGGGTGAGGCTGCCTCAGAAAGGCGGTCTAGGAAGGCTTCTTGGAGGTGGCAGCGTTTGAGCTGAGCCCCACATGCAATAAGGGAGGGGGCCCTGAAGCTGCATGGGGCAGGAGAGTTCCAGGCAGAGAACAGCGGGGACAAAGGTCCCGCAACCACAGAGAAGCGGGGAGCTCAGTCGGAGGTCAGGACGGCCGGCAAGGGGCGAGCAAGGCAGGCCAGCGGGACGCGGAGGGTTGCAGGTACACCACGCAGGTCATGAACAGCTTACCTCGAAGTCTTGGTACTGCTCCTCTGCAAGGGACTTCTTGGCGACCACGAGCACCCGCAGCCCTTCCCGCGCCATGTTGCCACACTGCAAGGCAGACGAGGTCAGCAGGGAGCCGTGCGGAGGGGACCGCCGCAGCCCCCGACTGCTATACAGGGACACACAAGTGCACGTGGCCCTCCCCAGGGGACAGGGAACAGAGCAGACCAGCAAGCTGCTTTCCCTGAAAGCTACAGCTCCCGACGTAGAGGTCCACAGGGAGGCTACAGACACGGGCTTTCTCGACTGGCACGGCACGCTTCGCCCTTGCAATCAACACTGTACGATTTCACGCACAAGAGTGGACCGTGGGCTCAGTGGGAAAACAGAAAATCTAGTAAAAGTGGGCTCATTTTCTCAGACAACCATAATCTGTGACGGCTGCAGAGCTGCTTATCCCCCAAAACGCAGGTGTCAAGGGAAGAACATTTCAACTGTTTATCAAGCCAGCTGCAACCCAGCCAGAAGGACACGCCCAGGCCCCGTGATGTGTCAGTGTCGCTGCCTGGCCCCACAGGTGTTTGGTCCAGGACCCTCACGTTGGAACTATCATGTCACTGAGCACCCCGAGTGTGCCTCCCTCCTACTGCTGGCCAGCGCCAACTGACCACGTCACAAACTGGGATGTGTGGCCCCCAATGATCCCCACTTCCTGAACCCATGGCCCTGTACAATCACCTGCTCCACGAGGGTCACCTGCTCCTCCCGAGCAGCATGCCGCAGAAGCAAGGGGTGTTGTGTCTGAGATCAGGTTAGCAAAGACGGTGACGCCTGCTCTGCACCCCTGGCTCCCGCACTTGGACACGGACAAAGCCAGCTGCGAGGCCCTGAGCTGCTCCATGACAGAGGGGCCCAGACAACAAGGGAGGGAGGGCACCTCCAGGTGACAATGCAGGACGTGGGACTCGGCCGTGGGCGCTAAGCAACCCGGGTCTTCAGGGGAGCAGCAAGCTGCAGGAGGTCCTGGACAGAGGGACACCCCAATCTCTGCCTCACAGGGCCCCAAGAAGGACGTGTGCGCCGTGTACGCAGCTAAGTCTCGGGCAGCTGGTGACACAGCCACAGATGCCAAGGGCAGGGACCTGCCCAGCGCTGTGTCAGGGCCAGCCGCTCCCACTCACCTCCTCCTCCAGCCAGTCGTTGTACTGCACAATGCCGGCCATGACCACGTCGGCCCCCTTCATGTAAAACGTGATTTCTCCCGTGGACTCATCCTAGCGAGGGAGCAGGAAGCAATGAACAACTGCACGGAACTCCTGCCCTCTGCCCTGCACCCGCTTCCCCTCACCGAAGGGCCACAGAGCGTCGGAGCAGACGCCGATGTGTTTTCACTTGGCCAGAGATGAAACGGGAGAGGGGGCCTTGCTGTGGGGCAAAGGCCACAGAAAGCAGAAGAAAACTCACACTGCCTGGAAAGTTATTTGATGATAAAAGCAAGATCAAAAAGAGTGAAGATACTTGTTTTTAAAGTCATCACTTTTCCAAATGGAAAGGACAGCCAGGCGTGGTGGTACACGCCTGTAACCCCAGCACTCAGGAGGCTGAGGCAGGAGGATCACTGTGAGTTTGAGACCAGCCTGGGCTACAAAGTGAGCTCAAGGCCAGCCTGAACTGCATAGCGAGACCCTGTCTCAAAAAGACAAAAAAAAAAAAAAACAATTCTGACTTCCAGCATCACCAAACTGTGGTCCACAGCAGGGAAGATAATGCCCAAGACCAGCATTTCTGAGCCACTCCACAGTGTTCCCTGCGGACAGCATCCTGTGGGCTGCAGAATGCAGAGCGGCATCCCATCCTCTCCCCTCGACACGCCAGTAGCAACCTCTATGTGACAATCCAAAACGTCTCCAGACAAGAGCAACTGAGAACTGGTGATCGCGGTAACTCCAGACCCTCACGGAGCAGGACTTGTCTAGAGACCGAATTACCCGGACTTTTCAGCTCCCCTAACCAGGGCTTCTGGTAACCCCAGTACACCTTGGCAAGCTACCTCCCTTGGCCTCAGCACCACCTACTAAAATACGAACACCGGAACTCCTCTTGTGGCTGAAAGGAGACAAGTGCCCCGGAGCAGGTGACATCCACAGAAAGTGCTCCTCCCCCTGACGGGGCGTGAGTCACTTCCTAAGTGCCAGGTCACGCTGTGTTATGGAGAACAAGGCTCCGCCCGGGACTGTCAGTGGGGCAATGCTGGCCTCCGGGGGACACCTGATGACATCTGCGGTCACTGGGAGTCTGAGGGTGAACTACAGGCATGTGGTAGAGAGAGGTCAGGGGTGCTACAAGCACCCTCCAGTGCCCAGGACGGCCCCAAAGGCAAGTCCAGCCCTACACATCACTGGGCCAAGGCTGGGAATCTCGCTCGGAGGAATGAGCGGGGATGGCCTCATCGCACTCCACCCTTGAAGATTTCAGACCCAAGGAAGGAAGAGGCCACGGGGTGGGCAAGGAGCCCGGCCAGCACCATCGACGCCTTGTGCCTGAACTGCGCTCCCTGGAAAAGCCCAGAAGCAGTGCCTCCAAAATGTGCAATGAACACAGCGACACCAATGGCACATCGTACTACAGCGTCCTCTTTTAAAATGCTTTCGAATGGCCTCGAACCAGGGACAATCTTTCAGAAGGACACACTGACACTGAAAACACCCCAGGCCAGCAAGAAAAGAGGCACCTGCATTTCCGAAGCTCAAGGGCACGCTGGCCTTGAAGAAGGGCCTCCGTGCAGCTTGTGAGTGAGGCCAAAGACAGCACGGTCAGACCAGGAAAGCACTGGGTTTTTTTCCTTTCCCTTTCACCCCCGTGATGCTCAACAACAGGGGCGCAGGAAACAACGCGCACCCCCCCAGCTTCCTCTGCTACAGAAAGGGCTCCAGCGAGCTGAGACTCTGTCCAGCATAAACACTGGATCAACTGTCTCCTCCGATGAGTCATTTCCTCCCCCCAGTTCAACCCAAGTTTACTTCGTTCCCATGTCACGGCGAGATGATGCTCCGAATCCACAAACTGGCTCGCCGTGCTGCACTGCTCATCTTGTTCCACTGCGGCACCAGCTCAAAGGCCTTGTTTATTCAGTAACAATGGTCCAACCTCCACCAGCAGAGCCAGGCAGGGCAGAACGTCTTGTACACACCAGACACCCAACGGGTGACAGGATCTTCAGAAGGGCAGGCGCACACGTCCGGGAGAAACCGGCTCCTCTAAGCTCACCTGACTGCTTAGGAGAGGAGACACGGACTCCTGCAGAGACCTAGCCTGGTAGCTGCAAGAGGAGGCTGACAGGTACTCGGATGAGCTGGCACCTGTTTACAAAGCTGGATGACGGCAGAACTGTAACTGGGGAGAGACAGCTGCAAACCTAGTCAAGAGAAGGCTTATAACTGAGCCACAACTTCCCACAGGTGGGAACGGGCCACAATAGATCCGCATGCAACAGGTGTCCTCCAGGACTCCCTAGAACAGAGCACCTCAGATCGGCAAGCGGGGCACATGGCGCCAGACCAGCCCCTGCCCTGGGGCCGTCCTGTGTGTTACAGGTAGTTGAGCAGACACATCTACCCACTGGATGCCAGCAGCACCCCTACCTAGGGTTGGAACAAGCACAAATGCCTGCAGACATTGTCAGGCTCCCCTGGGATGAGACTTACTTGCCAAGGGAAAACGGCAAGATTTGTGCAAAGTACAGAACTAACCCCAAAGCCCCGGCACTGATTTCCATTCACCCAAAATAAGAACAAAGAAAAAGTAACAAAATGACAAAACTTGGCAAAATAATAAGTGTTTCATTAAAGACAGCCTACAAAAGTGGATGTTCACAGCAATTTGTAGTTAGCAGTCAAAGACAAGAAGCCAGGCAGGGTGGCACATGCCTGTAATCCCAGCTATTCAGGAGGCTGAGGCAGGAGAATCACAAGTTGGAGGCCAGGGTGAGCAATGCAGCAAGGCTTTGTGTCAAAAAATAAAAAGGGCTGGGGATATAACTTCGTGGTGGAGGACTTGCCTAGCATGTGTGAGGCTTGGGCTCAATTCCCCAAGCTGAGAGAGAGAAGAGAGGGGGAACTTGAGCATCTAAATTAAAAAAAAAAGAAATCTGAAACAGCGGTACATTTTTTCAATAAAACACCCTACATATATTAAAATCTCATTTTAATGTAACAGAAAATTTCATACACACACAGCCTTCAGTGGAGGAGGGGACGCTTAGAAACTTATACGAAGTTCAAGCCAATTTTATAAGAATATGCGTAGATATTTACACTGCTATGTAAAAAAAGACTGAGAGAAAATCCCCCGAGACAAAGTAAAGTAGTTGTTTCGGGGTGGGGGAAATGGGGATGAGCGGTTCTAATTCCTTTCTTCACACATTGTTCAAAAAACCTTATGAGTGTTGATTTTTAAAATAACTTAGGGCCGGGCATGGTGACACACACCTGTAATCTCAGCACTTAGGAGGCTGAGGCAGGAGGATTGGCCTGAGTGAGAGACCAGCCTGGGCTACACAGTGAGTTCAAAGCCAGCTTGAACTGCATGGAGACCCTGTCTCAAAAAAAAAGTAAAAAATAAAATAAAATAACCTGGGAAGGGGAGATGGTATTTTTAAGAAAAAGTGAACTCATGCATCCAGCAGCCACAGGCCCTGCTCCTGCCGTGGGAAGACACGTGGGCCCCTCTCCTAACACACGAGGGCCCTTTCCAAGCCCATGATGGGTGGTGGTGTGGACAGCTCACTTATCCTAGGAGGCGGATGCCGGACACTGTGATGATTCAACCCTCAAGTGATCAAAGGCTGGACCAAAGTTGGGGTCATTCTGTAGGAGACGCTGACTCTCCCTCTCCGGGAAGCCCCCGCCCACAAGATCCACGCTGCTGGATGAGCCTGGCGTCAGATGAGTGCTCGAGATACGGCCCGGAACCCCGCGGCGGGGCAGTGCGGAGCGTGGGAAAAGCTGCAGCTGTGTAGGAGGAAAAGCTCCCTCCCCGCGGGGAAGTTGCCAAGGACAGGTCCTGCAGCGTCTGCCTGTGCCTACTGGCATCTGGAGCATAAAAATCCCTGCACACCGCGCCAGGGGGCCACTCGCTTCCCTGGGGAGGTCGCCCGGAAACTAGCACCCGACGGTCCCCAAGGTCTGGCATTTCTGCGCTCCGTCACGCACCCCTCTGGCTGGGGGCTGGCCCTGGCCACTTGCTCCAGATAACAGATGACGGCTAAAGACTGAGTTACAAAACGGAGACTTTGAACTCACATCCTCCCCTGAGATGGGGGCTGGGTGCGGACCCAGGACGGTCCTCCTGGGGCAACACCCCAGGCAAGTCCCAGGAACATCAATGCTGCCCAGAGTGGACCCTGTCCCAGGGCAGCCTGCGGGACGGCATCCCCGGCCAACGCCCCAGCCAGTGCCCCGGCCCCAGCCTGTGACAAAGCCTACACAAAGCCAGAGGACCGGCTGAGCTGCGGCCCAGTTCCCAGCACACACAACCTGTCAGAGAATAAAATGCTATCCTTTTATGCCCCCACTGGGTACTCTGTTACACAGCAGTGCGAAATTGCACACGCCCCAACATGACCGCAGGGGACCTGTGAGGTTCTCCTCGTCCCTCCGGTCACAGCCCAAGCCTGGGTCCCAGCGCATCCGGGAGGAGCAGAGGCCCTGGGAGCTTCCTGCCTGGGGCCCAATCCCTGTTCCTCCGTTCTAGCGGGTGAAGCTGGGCACGTTTCTCGGCCTTGCTATATCTCAGGGGCAACAGACACGGTGCCTGCCAGGCTGGGTTAGGTGAGAAGCAAGTGAGTTAGTTTATCTGACCACTCCGAAAGCCGCCAGCGCAGAGTCCCACGCAGCCATCGCAGTCCCACTCGCACAGCTGCTCCTGCTCCTGTGTCTCGCCCAGCGCAGCTCCCCAGCTGTCCCAGGCATGAGTGCCATAGAGTAAAGGACTAAGACAGTGACTGCGGAAGCCTAGGAGGGCTAGAAAAAGCGGTGAGTTGTTTCTTCTAAACATCCTTGTTTCCAGGCATGGTGCTGCGCACCGGAAATCCCATCTGCTCAGAAGGCTGAAGCAGGAGGATTCCAAGTTCAAGCCCAGCCTGGGCAACTTAGTGACTTAGCACTGTCTCTAAATAGTGCCTATACATACAAGTACGTACAAACTATACACACACACACATACATGTACTTACATACTACATACACGCACATATATAAAGGGCTAGGGGTATAGCTCAGTGTGAAGGTCCTGGGTTCAATACCCATTACTAAAAAAAACAAAAAACTTTTCATACCTGCCCAAGCAAAACAAAAAACAAGGGGCTGGGGATTTAGCTCAGCGGCACAGCGCCTGCCTGACAAGCACAAGGTCATGAGTTCGATTCCTGGTACCAGGAAAAAAAAAAAACACAAAAAAACAACCAGTTGTATATTTAGGATGCTTGTAATTTTTTAGTGTATGCTGTGTGTCAATAAAAGGTTCAAAAACTATAAAAGGAGGTGGGCATGGTAGCACAATTTTACAAGCCCAGTGCTCTGGAAGATGAGCCAGAGGGATCACAGGTTTGAGGCCTGTTTCGGCAACTTGGTGACTTTACAAGACGGTTTCGAAATAACAAATAAAATGGGCTGGGGGTGGGGTATAGTCCAATATGAAGGCCTTTGATTTGCTTACAAAAGCGGGGGAGGGAGAAAGGGAAGGGAGGCAAGGACAAATGGCTGCAGACATGAAAAGATGTTCAACACAGTCATTTCAAAAATGCAAATCCAAACCATGCTAAAACACCACTTCACAACATCAAGGACAGTCATGATTTATTAAAAAAACAAAACAAAACAAAACAAAAAAAACAAGTGTTTACAAGAATCTGAAGAAACTGGAAACTGCTGGCGAGAATATAAAACAATGCAACATTGTGTAGAATACTTTAACAGCCGGTTGGCGGGTTGGTGGCACAGGCCTGTAATCCCAGCCCTCTGGGAGGCTGAGGCAGGAAGGTTGCAAAGTTTGAGCTCAGCCCAGACAATTTAGCAACTTAGTGAGAGCCTATCTCAAAATAAAACAGGCCTGGGGGTGTCGCTCAGTGGAAAAGTCCTCAGTTTAATCCCTAGTACGGCAAAATAATACTACTACTAGTATTGCTGGTAGTAGCAGTGATAGTAATAACGAAATTTTTAAGAGAAAATAGTTGGGAGACGCCTCATCAGGTTAGAGAGAGAATTAGCCAGCAAATGGTAACGGACCAGCACACGTGTGCGACTGTGCTCCGGAGCATATGCTCAGAGCAACCGGAAGTGGGCCCTCCCACCCTTATCCATGAAGACGCACAGCGGCACTGCTCACAACGGCCGACAGCTAGCAACCACTTAAATGTCCACGCGCGAAGGAATGAAAAAGCAAGACACAGGCTGGGCAACCCAAAGCCAAAAATGCAAATTCTCACGTCCACAGCTGTTGAGCATTAACGTGATGCCCCCGGTGGAAATTCCTCACCGGCCCTCCTGAGACAAGGTGCGTCAGAGGTCAGGAGGGGGTGCCTGAACACACCGCATAAAACGACCTGCAGGCTGCACCCCAGGTATACAGGAAACAAATGAATTCTGCCCTGAGACTTGAGTCTACCCCCAAGAGATCTTACTAAATATATGCAAATATACCCCCAAAGCCCAACAACTGATACACTTCCGACCCATAGTCTATCTGGGTGAGCTCAGGCTGTGCACGCATACAAGAGAATACTAGTCAGCCCTGAAGAGAACAAAACTCTACGCACACTGCAATACGGATGACCCTTGAAAACAGGCCAAGGGAAAGAAGCCAGACACCAAAGGCCGCCACCGCACAATTCCATTTACACGAAATGTCCGGAAGAGGCAAACCCATTAAGACAGAAAGCAGGCTGGTAGCTACCAGGAACAGGGCAGGGGCAGGCTTTTCTTTAGGAGTGATAAAAATTCTTTGAAATCGGACAGAAATGATGATGGCACCATGTTATTAAGAGACTAAATGCCACTGAATTGTTCACTTTAAAATGGTTATGTTATGTGAGTTTCATCTCAATAAAAAAATACAGGAGCTGAGATACAACTTGTCTAGCATGCACAAGGCCTTGGGTTCGATCCCTAACACTGAAAGAAAAAAATTTTCAAAAAACACAGCCAGGTGTGATGGCGCACACCTGTAATCCTAGCTCTCAGAGGCTGAGGCAGGAAGATCACTGTGAGTTCAAGGTCAGCCTCGACTACATGGTGAGACCCTGTTTCAAAGAACTCCACCTAAAATAAACTGAATAAAAAACAAAGCACACACAAATTAAACAAAGAAAATGAGACATAAGCTATCAAGAAAGGTCCAAGCTATATGCATAGATCTTCTATGTGGCAGGCTTGATGGCACATTTCTGAACTCTAATGGCTTGGGAGGCTGAGGCAGGAAGATTACAAAATTTAAGCCTACCCTGGGGAGCTTAGCAACTTGGTAAGATCCTGTCTCAAAATTTAAAAACAAACAACAACAAAAATACAGCAAAAGAAAAGAGCTGAGGATATAGCTCAAAGTGAAGACGCTGAGTTAATTCCAGGGGGCAGGGGAGACCCTAAAATCTCAAATGTAAAAGCTAAACAATTCGCCATAGCTGGTCGGCCACCTAGGGTCTGTCCCCCAGCTGGACTAACTTCCTTTCTGCTCTGTCACATTCCCTCGTTGGCCTGGGTAGCAGACACTGCCGCTAGGAGGGTCGGAAGGTCACAAGCTGCGTGCTGGGGCCCGGCAGGACTCACCCGCACAATGATGCCCATGCGTTTGCTTTCGTAGGTGAAAGGGAAGATCTGCAGGATGGTGAAGTTCAGGATCTGGTCACCAGGGGTCCTCAGCTGCACAGAAGACTGGTCTCGGCCCACCAGGGTCAGGCCCACGCTCTCCGTCCACTGGACCAGAGCTACCTAGAAATAACACAGGGTCTCAGGTCAGATCACGAGCACCAGGCGGAAGTGGGTGGGGCAAGACGGGTGAGGGGCAGGCAGTCCCTGTCCCGGGGACAGCGAGGGTTTGGGCTCAGGGGCTGGGGTGCTGCTGTCACCCTCAGCACAGTCCCTCCCGAAGGCTAACCTGTCTGTCTCTCAGACACCGGAGCAGGCTGTATGCCACAGGTGTGGCAGAGGGGGACCCAAACGCTCAGACTCGCCACCATCAACCACCTCTGGCAGACTGCACTGAGCCACGGCCCACGGGGAAGGAAGGGCGGCGGCCGTGGGCACTGCACCTTCCGGCTCACACACACCCCTCTGGGCTCTTAACTGGGTGATTCTGGCCCCCGGGGAACATGTGGCAATGCCTGAGGGCACCCGTGGTTGTCACAGTTGGGAGCAGGCTGCCGCTGGGACCCAGGGGCCACGGCCATGATGTTTTTTTGTTTGTTTTTCTCCGGCACCGGGAACCGAACTCACGACCTTGCGCTTGCCAGGCAGGCGCTTTGCCGCTGAGCTAAATCCCCAGCCCCGGCCATGATGTTTTGAGCAGCCATCCACCACGCAGGGACGGCCCCACCAGTCACCCAGCAAGTCAGCAGCGCAAAGGTGGAGAAGTTTGATGTACACTGGCGAGGAAACTGCGGCTCAGAAAGTGAACAGAGCAGGCGAGGGGGCGGCGCCGGGCAGTGACAGAGACCAGCCCAGGGCTGTGCTCCACGTGACTGCCGTCCCTCCAGGGCTCGTGCGGTCCGGCCCGGCCCGCCTCAGCCAGGCCCACCCCAGGGAAGGTCAGAGGCGGAGCATCTCGAGCTCCACAAAATGGCGCACACTGGTCGTGCAGTGATCGCAGTGATCGAGGAGGGCCAGGTGCGGACTGTGGCAGAGAAGACACCCTGCTAGAGCGGCAGCGACGCGCTGGGGAGGAGGCTGCCCTGCAGGCACGCACCAGGCCCAGCGTGGCCAGAACACCCAGTTTCTCAAGAAAAGCCCGAAATCTGGACTTGTCCCCGAGACCGTCTAGCTTTTAAATGAAGTGATTTACCGGCCCAACCTTAAAAGGCCATGAAGGAAATAAAAGATGTCTGCAGATGGCTGGACCTGGGCTCTCCAGAAATAGAAGGAAATGAAGAGGAAAGGAAAGGGCAGAGCGGGGCGGGAGGTGCGGAAGGGCACAGGCACACGGCCCCTGCTTGCCCTTCACCGGGCACGGGAAGAGGCCTTGATTGGGGGTGGGGCAGGGACAGGTACGAGAGTCTTGACTGCCGACAGCACAGCAGGGTCACCTTGCTTCCTCCTCAGAGACAGGGAAGAGCAGCTCTTCCTGCGGATGAAGAATCTGAGGTTCTAGCTGAGTGTGGTGGTGCACACCTGTAATCCCAACACTCTGGGATGCTGAGGCAGGAGGGTCTAAAGTTCTAGCCCAGTCTGGGCAATATAGTGACTCAGTGAGGCTTTGCTTCAAAATACTAAAAATTGTTTTAAGGGCTGCAGATGGAGCCTGCTGTGAAGGCCCCAGTACTGGGGTTTGGGGATGGGGAGGAAACGAAAAGAAAGAAACAGTCTGTGGGGCAGGGGCGTGGCTCTCGGCTGGGACAGGACCGGCCTCTGAGCCCGCAGCGCACTGCCAGACGCCCCTCCAAATCCACGGCCGGCACCAGGTGTGCGTGTGGTCAGCATGTCCTTAGCAGGGGCCCCCGGACCCCTATCACCATTAACACTGACGGGAAGTGGAGTGGGCAGAGGAGTGGTCCCCAAAGAGGCCCCGCCCTAACCCCCAGATGCAGCCCCTGCCGGGACAAAAGGGACTCTGCAGATGGGACTAAGCACAAGGACCTTTACCGGGGGGCTGTCCCCCAACCGGACCACAGGAGTCCTCAGAGGGGAGCCCTTCAGGCCGGGGGCCAGGGAGAGACTGCACACAGCAAAGGCCGGGGAGATGGGATGCTGCCGGCTGCGAAGACAGGCCGGGCCATCTCCGCGCAACACGGACAGCCTGCAGGAGCTGCACGAGGAAGGACACAGCCGTCCCCAGAGCCTGCGGGAGTGACGCAGCCCTGCCCCGCCCTGATGCTATCTCTACCTGTAACCTGCAGAACTGGAAGATAATAACTTCGCTTCATTTTTTAACATCAGATACCCAGTCGTCTGCTACCAGCAACAGGACACAGACACAGGAAGTTTTCCACTTTTAATGTCCAACAAGCCCTCTTTTTATCCCTGATCCCAATCCACAGGTGCTGTATCTGGGAAAGATAAAGGAAGACAAAGGGTGCCCCACTGTTTTCTTATAAAGCGTAACCTGGCGGGGGGTGGGCTGGAGTGGGCTGAAGGCTCCTCCAGACATGCGCCTCGAGAGAGGACTGGAGGCACCTCACTGGCCCCAGAAAAGACCAAAGCTTCAAATTCAAAATACAAATATTCTACCCAGCACATGCTGTTTTTACACCACTGTACAGCTGAAATATCCTAAGTAGAATTATCGCAAGCCAGGGACCCTTACGTAACTTTTTGCACGCCCAAACTATTTCTAACCATTGCTTCCTGACTGAGGGGGGCCCATCACTTTTCTGGGGATTCTATGGCAGGACGGCACCCCTCCAGCACCGGAAGCATCAGGGTTCTTCCTGAATCCCCACCGGGACAGCGCTGCAGAAGCTCAGCCACGAGGAGGCCTGCAGCCAGCTGCTCCCCAGTTCTTGGAACCCGAGTATCACTGGCTGACCTGATGCTCCCCGAAGGAGGCATCGAGCTGGAGCTTAAAGCTGGAGTTCGTATCTCGCCAGCCCCTCTTCCGTTAAACTCCCCTCAAAATAAGGGGCTTGGCTGAGTGTGGTAGCGAATGCCTGTAATCCTAGCACTCAGGAGACAGGCAAGAGGATCGCTGCATGTTCAAGGCCAGCCTGGGCTATAAAATGAGTTGAAGCTGGGCGAAGTGGCACACACCTGTAATCCCAGCACTCGGGAGACAGGCAAGAGGATTGCTGCATGTTCAAAGCCGGCCTGGGCTATAAAATGAGTTGAAGAAGCCGGGCGTGGTGGTGCACGCCTGTAATCCCAGCACTCAGGAGGCTGAAGCAGGAGGATCGTTGCGAGTTTGAGGCTAGCCTGCGCTACAAAGTGAGCTCAAGGCCAGCCTGAACTGCATAGGGAGACCCTGTCTGAAAAAGACAAAAGCAGGGCAGGGACTCCAAGTAAGTACTTCCCATCTCTTCTGCTAGGAAAGTGTTATCTTGATCATCCTTGGCTGGCTCCGCTCAGATGTCTACTCAGGTAAGTGCCGCTGATAGGAGCCGAGTTTGTGTTAGCCAGAAGTTATTTCACAGCTTTCCCCTGCTTCCTGTCATGTTGCAGTGAGTCAACCAGGGGTGGTGTGCAGCTTTCAACTCCGACCAGCAGAAGACACTGTCACACTGACCCCCACCTTTCAAACAATTAGGACATGATGAGGTTTTTCCCTGCAGGTTCCCAAGTCTTTGAAAACTCATTCATTTACTTATTTATTCAATGTAATGATTCTATGTTATGGTCTGGGTTCTCAGACCCCCTCGGTTCATGGGTTAAAAGCTGATGCCAGGGACTGGGGATTTAGCTCAGTGGCACAGCGCCTGCCTGGCAAGCGCAAGGTCATGAGTTCAATTCCTGGTACCGGAATAAAAAACAACAAAAAAAAGCTGATTGCCAAGGTGATGGCATCTGGGAAGAAATTACATTGTGAGGGAAGCCCTTAAAGGAGACCTGTCAGCTCCTCACTTCTTCTGCCCAGTGAGACACAGGAAAGGCAGCCTGCCGCAGGCCAGAAAGCAGCGCCTCGAGCAGGACTTCCTGCCTCCAGAACCGTGAGAATTACGGTTCCATTGTTTCTAAGCCACACAGTCTGTGGCATTGTGTTATAGCAGCCCTGAAGGCACTAAGACACTGATGTTCAACGTGACCTGTTTTGTCTGCTTCCTTTTGAAGTGTAAAACTGACAAATCAGTAAAGATCAACATGTCTGCAAAAGAGCGTGGGTATATACAAAAACGTTTATGGAGTGGTACATTTGAAGAGAAATACTTCTGGCTTCCTGTACCACTGATTTTAAATATTTATTTATTTAGTTAACAATACTGAGGATTAGACCCAGTGCCTTTGCACTGAGCTGTATTCTCAGACCTCCTCCTTTTTTGAATTTCGAGATACACTCCCAGCTCCCCACCCCTTTTTTAAATTTTTGAGACAAGGGTCTTGTTAAGTCACGGCTGAAACTTGCAATCTTCCTGCCTCAGCCTCCCAGAGTGCTGTGATTATGGGCATGAGCCACAGTGCATGGTACCACTGAAATATTCTAACACGTACATGCATTTCTTTTATTTTTTATTTTAAATAAGTAAGTAAGCATCCCAACACGCGTGGAAGGTATTTTAGCCAGTGATGCACAAGCTATAAAGTCTGACTGCATTTACACCCTTCTTTACATACCAATTTAGCAATAAGGAAGAAAACATTATTCTTCAGACACTTTCGAACATCACTGAAAGTCTTGTTTTCTTTCTGGTTTATAAGCAGCTGCCACAATCACTTCTTTAAGTCCTCTTTGGTTATCCTGAGAATACCTGAAAATCCTGACTTGAGGCTTCCAGGAGCTCTGCTGAGCCCTGGTGCCTGCCCTGAGCTTTCCTGGAGAAAGAACCTGGAACCCAGAAGATGCACGGGGTTTGCAGAGCTGGAGGACACATCAGCCCCGGGCCTGCGGGTTTGCGTGAGCGGAAACGCTGGCCTACACGTCTGTGACACTCACAACGGACAGATGCCCTGAGGAAGGATGGCTCACGACTGTCAGGACTTCGTACAAACACAGCCAGAGCCTCTTCTCACAGCAAACCTCAGCAGCGGAGTTAGGAACCTCAGGGCCTCCTTCAGGATCTCGCACCCTACCTGCAACCTCTGCAGTCTCTGCAGAGCAGATTCCAACAAATGAGCCCTCGGGGGAACCT